AAAACAACAGAACCACCAAACAACAGAACCACCACAAAACAGAACCACCATAAAACAGAACCACCACAAAACAACAGAACCACCACCAGCAGACGTTCAGTCACCACCAGAAGATCCCAAACTAAGGAGAACATGTCAGAACAGAATCACAACAATCCCAGACACACACAGAAGTGAAATGTGGACTGAGCCTGGTTCTAAACCGGCGTGTTCACCTGAACCTGTGACTGGACCTTCATTAACATGGCCCGACCCGCCCAAACAAACATGAAATGAAAACAAAGCAAAATGACCACAAGGACAAATGCAGACATTATGATTTCAGCAGAGTTCAGCTTTATACAGATGATGGAGGCCCAGCGGGTCGGGCCGGTTCCTCCTCCTTCAGTTGGACATGAGGACAGATGAATAATAACTGAGAGCTGGTTCTTGGGCCGGTCCGCTCTAAGCCTCTAATAGCTGTTTATCAGTTAATGGCGGCGCAGCGTTAATGGTCCTGTAATCTTTCTGCTGCTCTTTATTTCATCACTCTGATGGTTCAGCAGAACAAAGCGGCGGCGCTGATGGATCCTAATCGTCTGCAGATTTACATACAAATGACATTTAGAGACAATTACGTCAGTTTGAGACATTAATCCAACTAAGTTGTTAATCGACACAGAAACAAGAATAAAAGCTCAGAGAGCAGCAGCTTTGCTCTTCCTGCTGCTGCTTCAGACTGTTTTCACGTCACGACGGTTTGACTCCGCTCAGCAGAACCAGCACCAGAATCACTGCAGCGTCTCACTCACATATCACTTATATTATCATTATTATGATGTCATTATTATTATATATTATATATGATCACATATTATTGTATGTCACCGTTTTAGTTTTAAACATTATCTTAATGTTCCATCAGCTCAAGATTTTATGTCATTTAAACACAAATTCCAGCTTTAGTTGATTTAAAACTAAATTCAAGTTGATGTAACTTAAACTGGTTTGATTTGAGTTCAGTTTCCTCCTCGTTAGAGAAGCGGCTTCATTCATCAGAATGAACCAAACTGAAAAGGCAGCGTGGTCCTGCTCTCAGCGCCTCGTCTTGTTTCAGTGTTGATGAGCAAAAGGTTTTAGGCTGAGACACGTTTTAGGATTCAAGTCGCTCTGATTTTCTTCAGATTGGATGTTTTCCTTCGTGCAGCAACCTGTCGGGGTTCAAGGAAACTGTTTAATCCAAAAAACCCAAACTGTTGGTCATTTACATCATTATCTGAACAAACAAACAGAAGTCAGACCTTTAAAACTACAAACCTGAGTGAACACACAGTGTTTCCAGTTGTGACGCTCACAGGAGACCGTCTGGCTTCTGAACGTTTAATGAAAGAGAAAGAATGAAAACAAAGCACCTACCACAGGGCTTCAGGAATCAGCTGATCTGACGGGTCACCAGGGCTTAGGGTTAGGTTAGGGTTAGGTTAGGGTTACGTTAGGGTTAGGTTAGGGTTAGGTTAGGGTTA